ACTTATCATCAAATGGATAGTGTTCTCGTTTGTAACTTTTATTCTATAAAATGAAATAATAAAAACAATACAAGAAATTTTAGTTGCATCTGACTGTCTGATAACGGTTCATATGAAAATGTCTTTATACATAATTTAGTCTCACTAATTCGCGCGCTTATGCCTTAGCTACTGCGGCTAGATTATAAAAAGTACCTACGGATATTGCATTTTATATAATTTCCTGTCTATTCCTTGTGTTAGGAAAGTTCTCATTGCACGGACAAAAACCTGTCACAAATATCTTTAAAAGGCTCCCACAAACAACGACTCTCGCACTGTGCGGTGCTTTTTATGACTATCGCAACTTTCTTCTAACGTTTTCACTAGGAGCGTAGCAACACTAGATTTTTCATTGCATAGTTCAAATGGATAAGAAACTTCAAGTGATTTAGCTTTATGGACATGAACAAAAATAGAGAGTTTTAATAATAATGAATAATGTCTTCCGTACCGAATTTCGTTCACAACGGTCAACGGAGACTGGTCGGTCGCAGGACAGGATCATAGTGCGGGTGTATGCACAAGCTAAAGTCCACTCCCTATTCTTTCTCGCTCATATTCCGATAGGGATATTCCCACATGAACAGTGAGACATCAGGCGTAGAATCTTTACGTGGTTCCCGAGACACGGAAGTCAACTCCAGGCTTCTACTGAGAATGTCTTGACGGAAAATTAATAACTGATTTTAGCTCGACCCGGCCCCTGACTACATTATAAGCATTTGCACTTATGACTACATTATAAGCAGTTGCACTTATGACTACATTATAAGCAGTTGCACTTATGACTACATTATAAGCAGTTGCACTTATGACTACATTATAAGCAGTTGTACTTATGACTACATTATAAGCAGTTGCACTTATGACTACATTATAAGCAGTTGCACTTATGACTACATTATAAGCAGTTGCACTTATGACTACATTATAAGCCGTTGCACTTATGACTACATTATAGGCAGTTGCACTTATGACTACATTATAAGCAGTTGCACTTATGATCGTTAGACCAAAGAGGCTGTCATATTGTCTAAACGATATTTGCAATAACAAATGAGCTTTATCTCCAAGCAATTTCTAACAATGAAGGCCACTAATCCTTTGCCATAACCGAGGTCAGATGAATATTATATAAAATAAAAGTTACAGCCTATATACGTCCCACTGCCGGGCACAGGTCTACCCTCATTTCTGAGCGGGTTTAGGGCAAGGAAATGTCCGCTGCGTTGCCCCAATGCGTGTTGGCCAACTTCACATGTCTTCGAATTTTTTTTTCTTATTTCTCAGCCATGCAGGCTTCCTCACGAAGTTTTCCTTCCGACGTTTTCTTTCCTACCGCCGATCACGCGGTAAATCAGCACGTAAAATTGCAATTAACAATTTTATTGGTGCCGGCGGGGATCGAACCCGGATTGCTCGCGTACTGTAAAATTTACAGCGAGCACTAACCGTCTGAGCTACCACGGCTCCTTTAAATATTTGATGAAATATTATAATTATATTGTGTATCAATTTATCTTAAATAAGAAGCAATAAATTTCATTTAATTTTGACTTAAAATAATGAGTTACTTAACTGCTTATTTACATTATTTGAAAACAAATAAAGGTATATCACTGTTAATGATATTATTGACTAGTTTGTTCCAAATAAATTGAAAATATATTAAGCTGCTAACTTTTTTTATATAGGATCGGGTGACAAACGAGCACACAGTCCACCTGATGGTAAGTGGTTACTGTGACCCATAGACATCTACATTTATCCTCAATACAGACTCAAGATGGAATGCCTCTTTGCCAGTAAAAAGGGTCTCCGGTTCTCTACACTCACCATACGAAACACAGCAGCGTTAAGCTGCTATTTTACGCTGGTTTTCTGTGAGAGCGTGGTCCTTCCCCGTTCGAGCCGACCCATTCGTGCTACAACCATAATATAGCTGCAGTATAGCTCTACCACGTAGAAAGTATAACTTAATCTATAGGGATTAAAATCATTAATATTTCTTTTCGCCTCTTCTTTTTTCTTTTTTTTTCTTTGAAACAAATTGCTATGGAGACAATGGCACTATTACTTCTCGAGATACATGAGACCTTGTGACTGTTCGACCTTTGTAGGCACCAATGAAAATGTTTATCGCATTTTTAAAGAGCTAACTCACGAAGTACACTGTGAAGGAAAACATCGTGAGGAAACCTGCATTTCTTCAAAGGGAAAATAATTTAGAAGATGTGCCCAAACTTTAAAAAGAATCATAGACATCTAGGCTGTAGGCTCATAGACATCTAACTACCTTTTAATAAGAATGAAAATGTTATTGTCACCCCTGAGGACTAAGATAGGATGCCCCGTTACCAGTTAAAAAAGTAATCGGATCTTTACACTCACCATACGAAACACAGCAGCATTAAGCTGTTATTTTGTGCAAGTATTCCGTGAGAGCGAGGTCCTTCCCCAGTCGAGCCGACCCATTTGTGCTGCAGCTACCACGTTTAAAAACATAAGGTAGTTAATAAACATAAATACATTGCATCACGAGAATACCTCGTAATCCTTGATCGAGCATAAAGAATTACTGACATAAATTTTATGTAAATAGGTATTGAATCAGTCGCCTAGCATTTCCTAGTTTACGTATCAAACGTTGACCGCCAGCCTTGACAATCGGTCTCAATATGTCTGTTCTTTGTTTATAACGTTGTTTATTATTTGGAATGTCTCATTTTGCTATTATAACTGTGTAATTAATTCGAAAATAATTCTAAATATAATATTTAATTTCGTATTATTTATTAAGAAAACGCAAAAATACATATATAACTACATCGTCTACACGTACCGTTACAGCTTAATAAAGTCCACTAACTTGAACTGAACGTAGACTTTCTCCCATAGATTCAGATTACCCATGGAAGATGTTGTTGTTTATCTCCTGATTTGTTTCCCGCTGTCGCCTCTTACGAGACCCATGGGTGAAAGTAAACATAGGGTATATAAAAATTACGATTATTTGGTACGATCTTGACACACATCTCTCGCTTCTTACACATCCATCTACGTACAACGCTCGTCGGCTAAGGGTACTCTAAAGGAGACGGGAATTTCTGGGCCCAATTTGTAATAAGTTGAAATATAGTTTAAAAAAAGCGTTATATTTTTATCGTTCTATTTCTTTATATAAAAAAATTAGCCCAATTCACAATCTGGAATACGAGAAATCGATTACTTTAATCGATTAATGTAAATAAGTTTTAACAATTAAACATAAAAACAACTTACACCAGATGATTGAAATTAATTATATATATATTACAATTAACATAATGTCAACAGTTTAAAAAATAACTTACTTACTTACTTAGTAGTTTAGTACGTATGCGTTTTAAGTGTATTTTTCGTTGTTTTATTGATATATATTACTCGACCACTGCTTTCTTTCTACGGATTTCTGATCTTACTTAAGGGCTACTCCATGCGAACGACCTTGAGCATTCGGTCCGCCGACTCGCTACAATATATCGCGTAAGAAATATGCAAGACGCCACCTACTGTACGAACGTAGTATTATTTTTTCAACATCAATAAACTATTTTATGGAAATGCACACGGCGTACAAAGATAAATGTATTTTAATTTTTTTATTCAGTATATTAGTTGCATTATATTAGAATTATGTATTCTCATATATTATCTAATTATGAAATTTTATAATTAATTATATATTAAAAATGAAGCATTAAAAATTGTGAGTTTAAAAGATACCTACTCACTATAGCTAAATAGGTAGATAGCTCGCCTTTTGTACAAATATTTGGTGCAGTAAAGAATAAATAAATAAGTAGGATGTTTCGCAGATGTGTTTTTGATTATTGTTCATTTTTACGTGTCACGTATGGAAAAGTAATATACCTACCTACTAATTTTTGAATTGAGCACCTTATAACTTAGCCTGCTTATTACTTATGCTGGTTGACACTATCCTCACCCCAATGATTGATGAGGATGAAAAAAAAACTTATTTGTTTTTATTTTTATTCAATTTTATTTCTACATACGTAATTATATATATTTATACATAAGGGTAACTTTAATAAAGGTAAAAAATCTACAAGAAGGATAAGGATTATAGGTAAAGCGACCATACGACCCGTTTTGAACGGGACTGTCCCTTTTCTCGGTCACCTGTCCCATTTTCCCCAAACAAAGCTTCGGGACACAAAATTGTCCCGTAACTCGTTGGATGGAAGTATTGAAAGTCTTTCGCACCAACAATCTTCAACATAATTTTTTTTAATCAAATATATTTTATTTCTACCTGGTACAAATGCTCCAGTAGTAAGAGTATTTTTCTATTTTGAATAAATTGTGGACGTCTGAAAAAAAAACTTACGGTTCCAGTTCTAAAGGCGATGTTGTTAACAAAGGTAACAATAAAAAAGCTTGACCAGAATTTTATTCTCATTTAAAATCATCACCAACTTTATTAAAGCAAAATTGTTCCACTGACAAATATAATTAATAATTAAAAAAAATATGTTGCATACTCGTATAATAATTACCGTCTATACGTAATTGTGTGTATGTACTAATAATTAGAGAAGTTACTTTGAAATAAAAGTTTATCAGTTTCTAGAGCATTATATTAATACACAAAACAATGCATCAGTGGTTTGCTCTTTGATTTTTTTTGCACATTTTTAACTTTTTTTTTAATTTTTCTACTTTTAGGAATATCTGTGGTTTGGTTTATTTATTTTTAGTCTTATTAATGTAAAATATAGCTAATAGTGCAGAAATAAACAATAACCTTTACACTTTCCGAACAAGTTAACTTCCCCGCTATGAAATCTGTCAAATATTATACCTCACTTTGTAGTGCCGCAGTGGTGGCAGAAATAGTCTTGGATGTCCTCATTTTATTATTATTCATACTTTAAGTATCTTATTTTCCACAGCAACCTCCAGATCGATCTCACCCACAACAGCAGCGCCAGTATCTCGACGTCCGTTCCGTGTAGCAAGTCGTCGTCGACCAGCTGCCACCATTAAAACCAGCTCGACTACCACCACCACGCAATCTACAACCAATATTCTAGACAGTGAAGAATATTTGCAGGACTTTGGAGAGACGGGTAAGGATAATAATAATTTGAAATTCAAAATTTTGTGTGAATAACTCAAAAAATATGTGTCAGACCTTGAGCAAATTTATATGGGACCACATGAGAAGCACTAGCTTACAAATAAAACAAGAATTATCGAAAAAGTTATGAGGTACACACACATAAAAAAACATACAGTCGAATTGAGTACCTCCTCCTTTTTTAAGTCGGTAGAAAACAATCGTTTCTTACATAAGTATGTACTATTTTAGGCTACTGATTTTATGGTCATAAGCGCGATTGCTTAAAAGGTAGATTAATTTATGGAGCTTATTCGTATGAAATAAATTAAACCTACCTTATTCTGACTACGAGGACCAATGTACTCGTATAATAGCTGACGTCTGTTTACTGATAAAATCGCACAAAATAGAATGGATTATCCGGCGCTTTTCTACAAAAATTTATTAAGAGTTAAAAAAGAATTAAAATGTATTACTCCATGTTCCAAATTGTCATACTAATCATACAAGTAACATTTTATACAAAGAGTTTTGAGGTTATTTAATAAGTAAACTAACGATTTAGACTTTCTATAATAGTACTACGAGCATTAAATCTATTCTTACAATAGATTTTGTGAGTCGCGTGTCTAAGTAATAGTTTATTCTTAATGTATTCAGACTATATATGGAAGCTTTTTATTGAAATATAAGTTCTAATATAATAATCTACATTATAAATGTAGCTGTATGCTCCCTGAATAATATAAAATAAAATAAATTTTCAAGACTATGACCTATTCTTTTCACTAGCATTCTCACAGATCTTAATCAATGCGTATTGTCTAAGTTTTTTTAACGTTTTGTTATTATTTTTACTAAAGGCAAGTTTTTTTTATTTATTCTAAATATTTTCAGACTCTATTGAAGATCCGTCTATAACCTCGAGTTCTGATTCGAAGAACCGTAAGGTCCAAAGGCGTCCGTTGATTTCTCTGAAGGTTGAGCAAGATCAAAATCCTGCCGCCACGAGTGAAGAGGAGGAAAAGAGACAAAGTAAAAAATATAGCTCCAGCTTCAAGCAAAATCAGTTAGATGAAGTGCTAAGACTCAAGGCTCAGGATGACCATACCGACATAGACCAGACGACCGACGGGAAATTCACAGTTGAAAGTAAGTATTTCTTACACTGCACTAACATACTTCGTTATCTTTTTATTATTATTTGTATATAATAATGATAACCAACGAGCACATAGTCCATCTGATCGTAAGAGACATCTATATGTATCCTTTGAAAAGTTTCACGTCCATCGCCCCGTAAAATAAAAAGTTCCATACAAATGGTTACACCCTATTTCACCCTCTTAGGGGTTGAATTTTTAAAAAAAATCTTTTCTTAGTGCATGCTTATGTAATCAAAGGTAGCTACTACGAGTATCTTATGTATTGCACATGTGCTTTTAATATTATGTTCTTAGAAGATGATATTTATTTTTAATTTGCTTGCGGTGATGGAGTAAGATCACACCATTTTTTAAATAACGACGACTATGGGAAAGGCTTACAATAACTTTATATATATGGCATTTTACCATGCCTAACTAAAATGATAAGGACTGATAATGAGCAAGAAGTATTTTAATTGAATTTTGTTTGTGAATTTTCATCGTATGAAACCCATTTTGATAATTGTATTTTGCTTACAGGCTACAGCGCTGAGACGGCCGTAGCACTTGCGGCTCACAAACTCCTAGAAGCACCCGTGCCAGTCGTACATGATTACGAATACGAAGAAAAATCTTCCAAAAACACACAAAGAAACAACAAAAAATTAAATTACACTACTGATTTCAAAAAAGAGGTCACCAAGACGGCATCATACCCTATATCATACTCTACTACACCTAATTATAGCACTGCAACTCAGGATAACAACATACAAACATCTACAAGTCCAGTTATCTCCAGCGACCTTCTAGAAACATTGCTTCCTTCAACAGGAGCTTTTAAAGCATCCGAACCAGCAGGATTTACTGCTCCCACTATAACTAATCCAGGCTTGTCAGGAGTTTCACGTATTTTGGGACCTTCAACGGTCAGATACTTAAGCACAACTGATCAAAATACAGCTACACACAACATCAATCCATTAGACGACAGATATACTGACAACAGTGAAAAATACTCAAAAGCACCGCCATCTACAATTCAATACGTTAGCACAGTAAATGAATACTCGGGAGTTTCCTATGACTCAACTCCTAGAGACAGATATGTCGATATAAGCCAGACTTCACAGACTCTAAGCCGAACAGATAGCATGCGAAATAGAAGACCTACCACTGGCAGAAACTTCCCCGATACCGAAACACTCCAGACCCTCCCCCCTCCAACACCTTCAACAAATAGGTATTTTGATACTAATAATGGATTTACTGGGATACCACAAGGGCCAAGTGTATCACACGAATATACAAGTTCTAGTGACAAATATACAGATGGATTGCAAACAGCGAAACCATCTACAATAGATTATTTAGATTCAACTAGATATACAGGAACATCTCAACGTCTTAATCCTACAAATAGATTTACTGTTACAAGTCCGCCATCTACCGCAACATATTTCGAAGACAGTGAGTTCACAAGAGTATCGCAGGATGAAAGTTCAGTAAACAGTTTTATTAGCACAAGCGCCACGGAACTGCCACTTGATACAGGAATGTCCACTATGAAAAATACTGATACAGATGAGAGATACACAACAGTACAAAATCTGAGCCCTACTTACAGAACAGAAACAAGCGACAAATATAAGTCAATTTCACGAAAAAGAAAACCATCAACCACATCTACCGAAAATGAAAACGTCACCACCGAGACTCAACAAAGAACAAATCCCACAAATAGATACTCGAGCACAAATGAACGATACACAGAAGCTTCACGCAGAAGAAGACCATCTACAAATGCAGAAAGCGAAAAATATACGACAGGGTCTTTACAAAACGCTAGTCCAACGGAAGCCATATCGACTACAACCGGAAGTTCAGTAATTTCACGCAGGAGAAGGCCTTCTACAAACAGCTATACTGATCAACCTACAACGGAGCCATCATCGACATTTGGATTTACTGCCACAAGTGCGTATACGAACGCACCTCGTAGGACTAGACCATTGACGACAAAATACACGGATGTGACTTCAGACACCCCAGTGATATCACAATATTCCGGTCCAACTACTGGACTTCCGGATATAAGTGAAAAGTTTACTGAGACATCGTCTACAATAAAACCCTCAACAGATATACACTCGGAGACATTTGAAAAAACCACTGAAACGCCTTTTATTTCCACTGACACTGTAATAGCTAGTAAGAAGTACTCCGAAGTATCACGAAGACCATCAACTAGTACGTTTGTGGAATCGGTGGAAAAACACACGGAATTGAATGAAGATGATGTTTCAACAGATCATTACTTTACTTCAAACGGTCAGTACACAGGTATTATTCAAGACCACCAGAGTCCTACGCCCAAATACTTTAGTACTGAAGAAAGATCTCAAAGTGTAAGCCCTTCGTCTATCAAATACCCAAGTACCACTGACAAGTATGTATCAGGACCTATAGATGACTTTAGCTACTCGACTGCTGGCTATAGTCAGAGTCAAGACACTTCGGATTTCACCAGGGAATATCTCTTGGCGTCTCCGGTCACTAAAACATACGACGGTAGGTTTAACTATCTTTTATCTTTCAAAAAAAACTTAAGGTCTTTTTCAATTTCGTATTAAATAAAAACATGATAAAAAAATTGCAGATGAATATCAATACCTATCACCGGTGACTTCTAACCAACCATCATCCACGACTAGAAAACTGGCCAGAAAGAAGACGGTGTTCAGAAGAATTTCCACAACTGCCTCACCAAGTTCAACCACGACCACAACAACGCAAAAGCCCCGCAGGGTTGTTTCGAGAAAACCATTCGAGAAAATCCGTAAAGTCCAAAAAGTGAATGTTCTTAAAAATGAACCAGTTCAGGAGGAACTACAATTAGTGTCAGAAGAACAGCCAGTGAAAGAAATTAAAACAGCACAAAGGGTTCAGACAGTGCAGAGAGTACAGCCTGTAAGGAAAGTCGAAACGTCTGAACCTAATACAGTGATCAAGCCTATAGGTAGCTATGATTATTACGACGACAGCGAAGAGAAAGTAATACAGAAGTACGAAGAGGAGACAAAAGTGATCCTTCATGGAAAGGGTAAGTGTACAATAATAATCGTAACAGTTTACTAGGTGGTTGAGCTCCTTTTCTGCGTAGTAATCCATCTGTAGCAGTGAGCACCTGCACTTCTGCAGCGGGGTATAAGTTTGTTTTCACTTGAGCTTTATGGACTTCTGTAAAGAACTTTTAACAACGAAGACCGCAGCTGCGTTATCACTTCTGGTGAGGCATTCAGAAAAATATACATGTCTAATAGACTGTATTAATGCTTTTTATCATCATTTTTATCATTTTTATTTCTGGTTTACATTTTAAACCAGAAATAAAAATGTAAGTGGAACGCACTTACATTTTTCATGGTAGAGCCACGCTTAGTGGACTAATACTGCACGAATGGGTTAGCTCCGGTAAAGACCATGCCCGCTAAGAACACCAGCATAAAATAACAGCACAATGCTGCTATATTTGCATGGTGAGTGATGGGCTTTAGTATTTCTATAGACTGTCTTATCTCCGCCTTCAGATTTAGATTCATTTTAGTTCTTTGAAGTCGACTTTTCTATTAATCTTTTCATAACAGCGTATAAAAGTCCACTGCTTAAGAAAGGCTTCCCCATTGATTGCCTCGTAGAGGCAAACATTTTCCATATTTGTTATGTTTGGCAGCCGCAGTTTTTTCTTATCTTAAAAATATCTCCAAATCTTACACATAAATTATAGCCAAGATCACTCCTGACATTGCTCTCCATTTGTTCGTCAATACAATCATTTATCATCGTCATTATAATCAGCCATTTCGAAAATTAGCCCGCACAGACGGACAGACAGACAGACAGACGAAAAATGTTAAATTGGCATTTTTTACAGACGAACACTTTAATTTTATTTATATGTATTGTTATATTTGATAACGGGAAATGCAATAACACACAATAAGGCGCTGCGCAAACCTAGACACTTTTGTTGTCTTGTGTCGGATACGGTATGACTGCTCAGGATTGGAACGTATATAGACTAACTTTATGATACATACATATGTACGAAATGGTGATGAAATCTTTCTAGCATTTTCTTTAGTCACTTCTTACGATACCCACGAAACTAAATGACGTGATAATTTCTTTTGCCCCGCCATGACACCAGAAACATAATCTTAAGATCTCCGCTTGTTAATTTACTCATTACTTGTATTTCACAGGTAACCTAGAAAGTTTTGACATCGGCAACTTCACTCATCCATCATCATGCAAGAAGTTCATATCATGCTTACTTATCATTTCACAGGTAACATTGAATGCTTAGACATCGGCAACTTTCCTCATCCATCATCATGCAAGAAGTTCATATCATGCGCTCGCATGGAGAGTGGCGCTCTGCTGGGTTGGGAATACGTCTGTCCTAAGGGGCTGTCGTTTGATCCAGTTGGCAGCATATGCAACTGGTCCGCTGGACTCGGATGTAACGAGCAAGACTCATAAACTAACAATTTGATTTCGCTAAACCACAGTTGTCTTTGTCAAATTAATAAAAATGTTATATAGACAACTTTAACTCCTTTAAAACTTCCATTTTCAAATTAGAAGAGCGAACAAAGAATTTGTTAAACGTGCTATAAATAAGTGACAAAATAATTGTGGAATTCCTTTTATGCGAGCCCGAAATGGTAATTGCTGTATAAGTTTCTCTGCGTTCCTCTTTTAATAAATTCTCTTGATAAATTATTTCAATTTATTTAAAAAAAAATCACTGTAATTATGATGATAAACTCGTGAAATTAAATGTGATATTTAATAATTATTGACTGATTGAAATTTATATAGAAAAGAAATGGGGCCGTAGTTGACTGGGTAGATGCTATTTGATGTTTTCATACCTGAGTCAAAAAAATTGAGAACCCTAATTAAGCTGTATAAACAATGTCACTGACACCTCAATCTATGTTAATTATTGTTCTTATGTAATTACAATATGACTCGTTTTTTAAAGCTTTTTAATGTAGCTTTTATAAGATCCTCCAACACGATTGCCGGCCAATTGTGCATTTGACTTGGGTGACCACTTAAAATTTTACGAATTGTGATGTAAAATTAAAATTATATATTTTTTATTTTAAATGGCCACTCTCCTCAAAGGATTTGTACTTTTTTACTTTTTTATATAGCCTGACCACAAATATAAAAACTAGGCGATATAAGCCTTTCCATTATTCGGTTCTTTCTATGGGTGATTGCAATTCCCAGTCACCACTAAAATTGACGACTTCTTTAAAAGCCCAAGTCATAGTTATTTTTGAAGGAAAATTGAGTCACTTAAAAATAGTGTCAGAGTTAAGCTATCATCACCCATGATCATATTTTATATTCATAATTCTCACTCTACATCAAATTCCTATCATCTAAGATCAAGAAAAGTTTACGGCAGACTCCACCCATTTGTGTATTTTCAATGTCAAATATATTGATATTCTTATAAAAATAGAAAAGTCAATCATAATCACAAAAATAATTCGACTGGCTCACCTAAATTGTCACGAAGACAAATATTATATTAATATCAACATGTTTGACCTAAACTGCCCGCAACATGGAAAAGGTTTTTATGTTCCTGGTAGGGCTACATATTTATTATATATTTTATTATTTTATTATAATTAAACCCTTTTCACTAACACACATTTCAATGTACATTTTTTATACTCACATAGTTCTACTTACTAGTGGATAGTTACACCTGAAAATAGGCATGTAACAATATAAAAATAAACCAATTTCATAATGTGCCTTAATTATTTTAAATTGTATATAGTTATAAGTTTAATGTGATTATAAATAAAATAAAAACAATACTCAGTCGCGTCTTTATGTAAACTAAGCCTCTCCTTTTAAGAAGTACAGACGAAGCTGTGAATGATTATTATAACAAAACAGCTATGGTTTAATATACCAGAAACTATGGTAGCTCATTGGATAAACTCAATAAATATCATAATACTCAATGAAACTTATTTTTTAATGATTTGTAACCATAATATAATTGATCTCAATATCAAACTTCGCATGGTCGTACCAAAAAGCGTCTACATATCACGACCTAATGTACTATAAAATTATTATTTTGGATAAATATTTATTGCAGAAAAGTAGGAAAATCCTCCGTGGTCGTGTCGAAAGCATGACACAAATATCTAAATACATCCAATTCGCGCGATCCTGACACACCTCTATCGCTTCTTTCACATCCATTCATCTACCTACATTTAAATCCCATTGAAAAATGTCCTTAATTACGTTTACACTATAAAGTTCTATTTTGCATGAATATGTATCGCATAAATATAAGAAAATCCTCCGTGGTCGTGTCAGAAAGCATGACACAAATATCTACAGACATCCAATTCGCAAGATCCTGACACACCTCTGTCGCTTCTTTCACATCCATTCATCTACGTACATTTAAATCCCATTGAAAAATACCCTTTAAAATATACACTTTAATTTTATTTATTACTAGTGACTGCTGAACCGCCCCGCCTTCGCCTGAATATAATCTAGTAATGTATTCATCAAAGACCATTTACTTTATCAATTTTACGATTTCTCAAAAAAAGTAAAAGTAAAATATAACCTAGATCACTCATGGCATTGCTCGCTATCTGTTCGTCAATTTTTATTACAATCGATTCAGCCAATGCCGAAATTAGCCGGTATAGGCAGACAGACAGACAAAATTTTATAATTTTATTAATGTCTTAATAGTATAAAAATTACTCAATCTTCTCAATAAAAGGCAGCTATTTCGATATTACAGACACAAACTTCCAATTTTTATTTATATTTATAGATTTAAATTAAATAAAATTGAAGTGTCTGTTTATAATATTGAAATAACTGGCATTTATCAAACTCAGTTTTATGCATATTTTTAAAACGTAAATAACCATTAAAACAATTCTGTATGTCTGTCTATATGTCTATACTGACTAATCTTTGGAATGTTTTTTTTTATAAAGCAAAGAATTTTCCGTGTCTTTTTTTCATAGAAATAATAATACAGGTGGCAACAACAACACACATGACGGTAAGTGGACTCTGTGAACCAAAAACATCCATCCTCGATAACGAATTAAAATGCTAAATGCATTGTCACCCTCGCCAACTGTGACCTCCAGTTCTCTACATTCAACAAACGAAATACGGCAGCAATCATCATCATCATCTTTACAGCCCTTCACAGGTCCACTGCTGAACATAGGCCTCCCTCAAGGAATGCCAAAAACCAGGTCGACACACTATCTACTGGGGGGTCGCCCTACACTTCGCCCACTGTTACAAAGCTGCCACTCGAGAACCTTTTTCCCCATCCGTATTATGTGAGAGCAAGATACTTCCCAGATTGAGTCAACCTTTTCATGCTGGAACCGTAATATAGTAAACATAATAAATTCAAACTCGAAACTTTTTTTTCTTCCTATTATCCTTGTTTGTTGGCAAACCAACGATTGTAGTATTCGATCCGTAAACGTCGTTGATGTTCTTTTTTTGTTTACTCAAATTCCATAATTATTGGAATTTTTAACCCATGATTTTTTTTATAGGAACTGGTGACAAACGAGCACACATTTCACCTGATGGTAAGTGGTTACTGTGACCCATAGACATCTACATCTATCCTCAATAATGCGTTGTCACCCGTGAGGACTAAGATGGAATGCCTCTTTGCCAGTAAAAAGGGTCTCCGGTTCTCTACACTCACCATACGAAACACAGCAGCGTTAAGCTGCTATTTTACGCTGGTTTTCTGTGAGAGCGTGGTCCTTCCCCGGTCGAGCCGACCCATTCGTTCTACAACCATAATACATGGCAGCATGGCTCTACCACGTAGAGAAGACGAAAAAGTTTCAAATGCGATGAAAACATAACGCTAATCAATAAACAAATGACTAATTTTGAAAAAAGAATTCCAATTTTTTGTTTAAATAAAACTAATCTGAAGTTAGAATTCTTAGCCAAACACAAATTATTTTGATTCGAAATGGCCAGTACTGAAGAACGGCAATATCATAGGCCTATGTCAGCCAGTGATTGACTAATATTCCACCTGATGATAACTAGTGATGTAGTCGAAGATGGTAAATTGCACAATTTGATTCCATTGCAACTGATTTTTTATTTATATTGCCAACTCGCATTTATTTGTTACAGCCTGTGACGCTTGCACAGGCTGTAACAAATAAATGAACAATCAATTCCCCTAACACCTACATGACCTGGCTAGATATTCTTATCAATTTTCTTTTTAACGTTTGAATAAGAAAACCTAACTAACCTATTTTATAATCTTATAAATTCACACACTACACTAATACACTCAATTCCTATACTAGATAGAATACGTGGCAATGATACCTGCAATAGAAACAAAGTAACCGACACGGCTAAACGGACCACATTCTTGAATCTAGAAGGAGTAACAAACTAGCAAGACATGTAAGAGATCGATGGGTGCAGATAGTTCAGGACTGTGTTTTGTGGTAACCTTTGGAGGAGGTTTATGTTAAACTGCAGAATAATAATGAGCTTTAGTGATGATGAAGTTGATACCATTAAAAACAACTTAATATTTAATTATAATATTTACTTCCTCGCTATCCGTTAGCAAAAGTCTAATTTTGCGACTAGCGTACACGAGATGCTTAATCAAGTCTATCGAAAGCCAAGAGATCTGGCATTTCTTATAGTCACCTCTTGCCACATCCACGTGACACATTGGGGTGATTTATTTATTTACTTATTTCTCTTTAGAAAACTAATTATTTACAATATTTAATCATTAAAAATCGGATTTTATGAATTTTCATATGCACATAACTCTATAATTACGGCGTTATGCATATTTTAGCCTTTTTCCCCATCGTGCATGTTTCGTTTAAAATAAGGAGGTACGTACCTAGGTGACAAATACGTGTAGGGCGTGTATGCAGTGGCTGACTGAACTGCACAGAGTACATACATTACTGAACTGACTGGCCAAATTTTAAATTTTGTCCAATGACGTCAGTTGATGCAGTGAGGTCGTTTTCGGCATACAATTGACCCGTTCGAAAATTTGGAAAATATTCTCATAAAAACTATGCATAATTTAAAGAACATTTCGCTATTTTTGTACAGTTTTTAATTAAAATATAAAAATAAAAATGGTTTTCTGATTTTGCATTGTGCATATTTTGGGCATATCAACAGTTTGAAGTGCATATTTTGGCCTTTTTTTTAGTGCATTTTTGCATGCATATTCTGGCACTTTGTTAGTGCATATAATCCGATATCTATTAATCATCAATTACAGCCTATAAAAGTCTATTGCTAAACATAGGTCTCCCTTTTCATAGGGGATATTTTCGCAGTCGCTATGCTTTATAGGCAGGTTTTTACAATTTTAAGTTGTTATCAGAAAGATGATGTCTACCGTTTCATTTACTCTC